TAGTTAGTCATAGAAGCTGGTTGATGGTGGTTCATACCTTTAATCCCAGCACTAGTGTGGAATATGAAATGGAAGGAGACTAAGGCCTCGCTCTTAGTCTCAATCTGAGGATTCATGGAGGCAGGATCATCTATTTTCAGTCTGAGATAGAGATAAGAGCCAGTGGCTCTTTGTTTCTCTGATCTTCAGGTTGAACACCAGTATTTGTCTCTGGGTTTTTATTATTCATGCTACATCAATTTCCCCTCCCCTCCCTACCTGATCCTTCTGTTCCCTCAATCCACACATAAACTCTACTCTATTTCCCTCTCCCTTGTCCTCAATTCACACATAAAATCTATTGCATTTCCCTTTCCCAGGAAGATCAGTGTGTCTCCACTAGTCCATTCCCCTATATCTAACCTCTTTGGGTCTATTAATTGTAGATTGCTTATAATTTATTTAACGACTAATAGTCACTTATAAGTGAATACATACCATATTTATCTTTCTTAATCTGGGTTACCTCACTCAGAATGATTTTTTCCTAGTTCCATTCATTTCCCTGGAAATTTCATAATGCCATTTTTAACAACAGAATAATACTCCACTGTGTAAATTAGCCTATTTTCTTTATCCATTAATCTGTTAAGGGATATTTAGATTGTTTACAATTTCTAAATATTATGAAGAGAGCATCAATGAACATGATTGAGCAAGTGACTCTGTGGTAGGATGAAGTGTCTTGGGTATATACCCAAGAATGTTATAGCTGGATCCTGAGGTAGATTGAGTGTCATCTTTCTGAGGAACTGCCTTGTTTACCCACCATAACTACATGATAGTACCCTATTTGTATTGATGTCACACATTTCGTCTGTAGGACATCTTAACCCAAGCTTTGATCCTCATAATACAGGGGTAAAAGTTTGGGGCTGATGTATCTGGGTTTTCCAAAGTTAATTTGCAGAAGTTAACTTAAGGTAAAGATGACTTCTTCATTTTTATCTACAGTACCTAAAGCATTATGTGGTATGTAGCATGCAAAAGTTGAGCGTGTGCTATGTCTTAAAATGTCTTGATGGAAGAAGGTCATTGGCTAATAAAGGAACTGCCCTGGCCCATTTTATTGGTTAGAGGATAGGTGGGAGGAGTAAACAGAACAGAACGCTGGGAGGAAGAGGAAGTGAGCTCAGAGTCTCGACAGCTCTCCTCCCTGGAGAAGATGCCTGAGAGAGACACCATGCCCCGCTCCCGGCATGAAGCTCCGACCCAGGATGGACTAGGCTAGAATCTTCCCGGTAAGACTGGTTCTCACAGATTATTAGAGATGGGTTGATCGGGATGTGAGAATTAGCCTGTAAGTGCTAGAGCTAAAGGGCCAAGCAGTGCTTAAAAGAATACAGTGTCTGTGTAATTATTTTGGGGCATAAGCTAGCCGAGCAGGCGGCGGGGGTGCTGGGAACGGAGCCCCGCTGCTCCTATTACTACAATGTCTTTCTCATATTGATTTTTTTCTGGCTGAAGGGGCTTGAGAAGTTACAGATGCAGACAGTGTGGTTTGGACTAATCCCCCTTTTACCTATAACAAACCATAAAAATTCCTGTGAAAAAGAAACCTTTTGTATACTAAGTGGAATAGGTAACTCTTATCAGCAGTGACTGAGAATTGATGCTGTAATGAGTTTGTGTAAATAAAATCTTTCATCCACTAGTTTTATATGCTTCCTCTATAGGCCATCCTTAGAATCTGCTGTCCCAGGTCACATTCATCCTTTTAACAAATTCATTGTTCTTTGTGTAAAAGATAGAAAAAGCATTCTGCCTTGACCATTTATTTGTGTCTTACTGTCTTGTGAGAATCATCATGCCCATGTAAAGTAAAACTTATGCTTTTCTGCCTTTGATCTGTTTTGTGTTAATTTAATTCCTAAACCCAACTAAATAAACTAAGCATAAACAGAGACAGACAGACAGACAGATAGACACACACACACATACACACACACACAGAGGGGTGGTAGATCTTCAGCCACCCCATTACTAGAGTTTTGGGAAGTCTTTTTGATGTCTCTGGATGATACCTGAAAAATTGTGTTCCCCTCTTAGAGTTCCTATTCTCCTTAATAAAGCAACTGAAGAAAGAATGGACTCAAATGGAAACTTGATAACAACTTTGGTTTTTGAAATAAGGGTCTCACTATGTAGCCCTGTCTGGCCTTGAATTGCTAATTGACTAGGTTAGCCTTGACCTCACAAAACTCCATCTGTTGCTGACTTTTTATTGCTGGGATTAAAGATATGTGGCACTATGCCAACCCAATAACAACTTTATTGGTGCCTCGAATAAAAGACTTTAGGGCACAAGCTGTAAATCTCAGTATCTGAGAAGAGTAGAATGGAGGAAAGAAGGAAAAAAAAACATACTGGTTGATTATAGCAGCAGGCAGCCACATAGTAGAGTGGATGTTTTTAGAGAAAGAACAAGGAAGCCCAATGTATCAGAAAGAGCATACTTAGGCCCTGGCCAGCATCTGGAAAAAAGAACTGGAGAAAAAGAAAAAAGAAAAGTTTTACCTTTGTGGACTCAGAAAGGTGGGCAGGCCCTGCTGAACTTCATTGTTGCTATGATTGTAGGGATTTTGCTGGGCACAGAAATACAAGAAAGAAAAATTACCATATCTTATCTGAAAGACCCTACAGACACCCTCCCCAAAACCCGCAGCTAGCATGCTCCCGGGGGAACGTCCTGTTTGTTTTAAACAAATCTCCGGATCAGCAGCCAGCCTGCTCCTGTTAGAACATCCCAGGTGCCTGAGAGAACAGGAGATAGAGATAGGAAGACTGCAAGGCAAGATGTCAATAAGATAGGATGTCAAAAAAGCAGGTTAGCTATAAGATAGGAACAGGATGATTGTTGCCAGGCATCCATGCTGAGAGAGGAAACCTTTCATGTCCCCCGCCGCATTCCGATAACCACGCTTTTGCTTCTGTAAACTTGCTTCTTGTTGACACCCATGCTAAGAGGGGAAACCATTCATGCCCCCGCCTCATTCCAGTCGATCGATAACCACGCTTTTGCTTCTGTAAACTTGCTTTTTGCTCTTCCCTATAAAAAGCCTGCCCTCCAGTTGGCAGGTGCGCAAATCTTCCGAGAGATCTTGCTGCCCACAGGTACCTGTGTCTACTCAATAAACCTCTTGCGATTTGCATCCCTGTGGTCTCGGCCTGTTCCTTGGCGTTGGGGAGGTCTCCTCCCGAAAAGAGGTCCTCGTCGAGGGTCTTTCATTTGCGTGCATTGGAGAGCCAGCGGTCTGGAGGCTGTTTGACCAGAGCCTCCATCGCATGGGGCGCCAGGACAGTCAATGGCTGGCCCAGAGTCAGTTTACCCGCGTCCTTGGTGAGGACTGCAATAGCTGCTACCATTCGCAGGCAGGGCGGCCACCCTGAAGCTACTGGGTCAAGTTTCTTTGAGAGGTAAGCTACAGGACGCCTCCAAGGGCCCAGTTTTTGAGTTAGGACCCCTTTAGCATAACCCTGTTTTTCATCCATGAACAAATCGAAAGACTTGGTAATGTCAGGGAGGCCCAGAGCAGGGGAGGCTAACAAGGCTTTCTTAATGTTTTCGAAAGCCCTCTGCTGGTCCTCCCCCCAATCAAACATTGTTCCTTGTTTAGTTAATGGATACAAGGGTGCAGCCAGCTCTGCAAACCCTGGGATCCTGAGGCGGCAGTATCCCGCTGTTCCCAGGAACTCTCTTAGCTGGCGGGGGTTCCGAGGGGCAGGAATGTTAGTGATGGTTTGTTTGCGCGCCTCGGTCAGCCATCTCTGTCCATCTTTCAATTGATAACCTAGGTAAATGACTTGCTTCTGGCATATCTGAGCCTTCCTGGCTGATGCCCGATAGCCTGCTTGTCCCAATGTCTGTAGGAGGGCCTTTGTACCCTCCTGACATTCTTTCTCCGAAGCAGCTGCCAGAAGGAGGTCATTTATGTATTGGAGCAATGTCAGGGCAGGGTACTGAACCCGAAAGTCTGCCAGGTCCCGGTGTAAGGCCTCATCAAAGAGGGTCGGGCTGTTCTTGAACCCCTGGGGAAGCCGTGTCCAGGTCAATTGACCCGAAAGTCCAAGATCTGGGTCATTCCATTCAAAGGCAAAAAGGGACTGGCTCTCCGGGTGCAGCCGCAAGCAAAAGAAAGCATCCTTTAAATCTAATACGGTATACCAAGCGTGGGATGGCGGCAGAGTGCTCAATAGGTTGTAGGGGTTGGGGACCGTGGGGTGTATGTCCTCCACCCTTTTGTTGACCTCCCTCAAATCCTGCACTGGCCGGTAGTCCCCAGTCCCCGGTTTCTTTACTGGTAAAAGGGGGGTATTCCATGGTGACCGGCAGGGAATGAGAATGCCCTGATCCAGCAGTCTTTTTATGTGGGGCCTTATGCCATGATATGCTTCATGGGACATGGGGTACTGCTTGATTGAAACAGGAGTAGCTGTTGCCTTCAATTGAATGATGAGTGGAGGTTGTTGTATAGCCATCCCCATTCCCCCAGTCTCTGCCCATGCCAATGGAAAGTCATTGAGCCAAGGGGCCATGTCAATTGTCTGTTGCCCCGGGGGCTCGTAAAGTCTATATTCATCCTCCAGCTGGAGGGTCAAAATTTGGAGGGGACCTCCATCTGGGCCCGTTATCTTAGCCCCTGTGTCCTCAAAATGAATTTGGGCCCTTAGCTTGGTGAGGAGGTCTCTACCCAACAAGGGATAGGGACAGTCTGGAACATGCAGAAAGGAGTGCATCACCTTACCAGTAGCCAGCTGAACCTTCCGATTAGTTGTCCATCGATATCTCTTGCCACCAGTGGCTCCTTGGACCCAAGCAGATCGTTCGCTGAGTGGCCCTGAAGTCTGAGTCAGGACTGAATGCTGGGCCCCGGTGTCTACCAGGAAGGTAACTGGTTGCCTCCCGATATCAAGAGTTATCCTGGGCTCGGGGGGGGGGGGGGCTCCTGGCCCTGAATTCCCTAATCCTCTAAGGTGAGGAGGGAGGTTTGGGGCCTGGGCTTCCTAGGTCCTTTGTTCCTCCTGGGGCAATCCTTAATCCAGTGTCCTCGTTCTTTACAATAGGAGCATTGGTCTCTGTCCACCTTGGCCCGAGGCCGTTCTCCCTCTCTGTCTCCCTCTCTATTCTGTCCCTGAACCACGGTGGCCAACACCCTAGTTAATTCCTTGTTTCTCCTCTTGTCTCTTTCATCCTCCCGATCTTTCATTCTCTGCCATAATCTTTCCTCTTTTTCTTCTGGAGTCTCTCTCTTATTGAAAATCTTCTCTGCCTCTTTTAGTAAGTCTTGTATAGTATATCCCTGGAGACTCTCAAGCCTCTGCAATTTGCTTCTAATATCCGGACTAGACTGCCAGATGAAAGACATGGATACACTTGTAGCTTGCCCTGGATCTTCAGGGTCATAGGGGGTATACATCCTATAAGCATCCTTGAGCCTTTCTAAGAAGGCTGAGGGCGTCTCTTCATTTCCCTGTATTACTTGCTTAACCTGGGCCAAATTGGTGGGGCGGCGTGCTGCCCCTCGGAGACCCACGATTAGCAACTGGCAATAGAGGCGTAGGTGTCCCCTACATGCAGCTGTAGTGAAATCCCAGTCAGGTCGCGTCAGAGGGAAGGCCTCGTCAATTTCGTTAGGCAAAAGGGTTGGGCTCCCATTGTCGCCTGGGACATTTTTCCGAGCCTCCAAAAAGACTCTTTGCTTTTCCTCCGAGTTCAGCAGGGTTTGCAAGAGTTGCTGGCAATCATCCCAAGTGGGCTGGTGGGTGACTAAAATAGACTCAATCAGGTTAGTCAGTGTTATTGGATCTTTGGAGAATGGGGGGTTATGGTGTTTCCAATAGTATAGATCTGAGGCAGAGAATGGCCAGTATTGCTGTCGGCCGTTTGGGCCCTCTCTCAAGGGTAGGGCATGAGCAGTGGAATCAGGGGGTGGTTCGCGCCTTCCCCGGAGTCTTCCTGCCATGGGTGAAGGGGCTGGGGAGACTTGTGCAGGCTGTCCACCTGCTGCTGCAGTCCCTGGCCCATCCGGACTCTCTGGATCCTCTGGATCTGCATAAGGAGGGGGTTCTTCTGATAGAAGGTCAGTGAGGGGAGAGTCAGGGTTCGGAGGAAGGACGGGAGGGGGCGCAGGGGTAGGTTTCGGAGGTTTTTCTTCGGGAACCTTCTCCTTAAAAATGATGGGGTATAGGGAAGAAGAGGGTGGGGCAGGGGAAGGTGCAGGAGGAAGAGGCACAAGTGGTTGGCTCTCCTGGGGAGGGGGAGCCTTAGGGGCTGTAGGGGTAAGAGAAGGTTGGGGTTTGTTGGAGATGTTAGAGATGACAAAGGGCTGGACCCATAGGGGCGGGTCACGTGCCAAACTTTCCCAGGTAACAATGTAGGCGCGTTGGTCCGGGTGTCCATGTGGTCCTGGGCTGAACACTTTTGCCTTAACCTGGGAAATAATATTGAGATTGAAAGTGCCGTCTCTTGGCCATTCTGATTCAACAGTAGGCCACTTGGACGAACAAAAGATCACCCATTTCTTCTTTCGAACATCGACTGACAGGTTGTCGGCTCGGGCGCAGACGTCAGGCCAGTGGTCTAAAGTAAGGCTCAATGGGGTGGTTAGGGTTTGTCCCATCTTCTCGAAGAGAAGGGAACCAAATATAAAAACAAAAAAACAAAAAACACACACACACAAAGACAGAGACAGAACAGATGCTGACAGAACAGACAGAGACAGAACAGACGCTGACAGAACAGACAGAGACAGAACAGACGCTGACAGAACAGACAGAGACAGAACAGACGCTGACAGAACAGACAGAGACAGAACAGACGCTGACAGAACAGACAGAGACAGAACAGACGCTGACAGAACAGACAGAGACAGAACAGATGCTGACAGAACAGACAGAGACAGAACAGACGCTGACAGAACAGACAGAGACAGAACAGATGCTGACAGAACAGACAGAGACAGAACAGATGCTGACAGAACAGACAGAGACAGAACAGACGCTGACAGAACAGACAGAGACAGAACAGACGCTGACAGAACAGACAGAGACAGAACAGACGCTGACAGAACAGACAGAGACAGAACAGATGCGCAGCGCAGCAAAACTCAGACGGAGGCCCTGAGGGTCCGGATCCCCCTCCTCCAACTAGGACCACGTATCCTTCGGATACGGGCTGAGCTCCGAAGAATCGGGCTCCAGAAGTCCTTGCAGACTGACTCCGATGTCCGTGGAACGTCTTCCACGGACTGCGGGGGAGAAGTACCAAGCTCGTCAGCCCCCTTCCCTCTGCCAGGTACAGCGCACTCAGACCTGAGTGTACAGAATTCGACAAAGAACACAGAAGACAACTGAACAAAGAACACAGAAGACAACTAACAGAGCTGGCCAGCTTACCTCCCGTTGGTGAGTCGGTGATCCCTGGGTGGGGGGTCTCAATTCCCGGCCAATGCACCAAATGAAAGACCCTCAATGAGGATCTCTTTTCGGGAGGAGACCTCCCCAACGCCAAGGAACAGGCCGAGACCGCACGGATGCAATTCGCAAGAGGTTTATTGAGTAGACACAGGTACCTGTGGGCAGCAAGATCTCTCGGAAGATTTGCGCACCTGCCAACTGGAGGCCGTGCTTTTTATAGGGAAGAGCAAAAAGCAAGTTTACAGAAGCAAAAGCGTGGTTATCGATCGACTGGAATGAGGCGGGGGCATGAATGGTTTCCCCTCTCAGCATGGGTGTCAGCAAGAAGCAAGTTTACAGAAGCAAAAGTGTGGTTATTGGAATGTGGCGGGGGGGGGGGGCATGAAAGGTTTCCTCTCTCAGCATGGATGCCTGGCAACAATCATCCTGTTCCTATCTTATAGCTAACCTGTTTTGTTGACATCCTATCTTATTGACATCTTGCCTTGCAGTCTTCCTATCTCTATCTCCTGTTCTCTCAGGCACCTGGGATGTTCTAACAGGAGCAGGCTGCCTGCTGATCCGGAGATTTGTTTAAAACAAACAGGACGTTCCCCCGGGAGCATGCTAGCTGCGGGTTTTGGGGAGGGGGTCTGTAGGGTATTCTACCTATCTCTATAGATTGGTGTGGTGTTTTGAATAAAAGCAACCCCCATAGGCCCATAGGGAGTTGCACTATTAGGAGGTGTGGTCTTGTGGTAGTAGGTTTGGCCTTGTGGGAGAAAGTTTGTCTCAGGAGGTAGAGACTAGGAGATCTCCAGAGTCCAGCCTGCTCTACCGAGCAACTTTCAGGACAGTCAGGGCTAAACAGAGAAACCATATCTTGAAAAAAAAAAGTAAATGGAGAGTTCCTCAATGTGGTCTGACACAAAGGTCTTCTAAAGTGACACTTATGTCTCTCAATCTGACTATCAGATTATTAAAACAGTGGATCTCAAAGAAATGGGTATTTCCCCCGGGAACCTCATGCTAAGAGAAAGAGAGGCCACAGACAGAGGAAAAGAGATTTCTCTCAGTTTTAGCAACTTCTCAGAACATTTTACAGGATGAGACTGTAGCGCAGATAATGATAGGTCAATTGTGGGTGGAACACGTCTTAACAGGACTCCTTAGATGTGCGAATCCTTGACCTTCTCTTTAAAGAGGATAGGTACAATCTTCCTGCTCTTATAAAAACAGTTTTATTGGAATACAGCCTTTTGGATTCCTGATAATTTGTCCATGGCTGCTTTTGTGTTACAACAAGGACTGAAGAGCTTTAATGGAGACCATTTGGCCTGAAAAAACAAAACAAAACAAAACAAAACAAAAACAAAAAACAAAAAACTGGAAACTATTTATTACCTGGCTCTTTACATAGAAAATTTGCCCATGCCTGATTTTCAGAAGAAAAGATATTAGCTAATGAGGTGGGTGCTGGTTCCCATTGATGCCCTATTTGGATTCCTTTTACCTACTTTTGCCAGCTGCTGGAATTCCTGGCCCAAAACCTAGAAGCTCCTTCTCTAACTGTGGTCTTCTGCTCGAATAACAGATTATATTTGCAGCTAGCACCTACTCCCCCACCTGCAGTCTTTCCTGCATAAGTCACTTCTACAGAAGTTCTCTGCCAAAACTTCTTTTAGAAACCCCACTACTGGTAGAAGACAAGGTTCTTATCAGACATGGCCTAGTCTTTGAGGTACACCTCATGGAAGTTGATCATGATATTTTCAAACCCTGACTGGGAGAGCTGGACCAGGGAAGTCACCCCACAGATCTGTTCTAATGAACTCTTTTTTTCTCTTTTATTTCCCTCTGAACCAAAGTTCTATTTGAGCTAATATATTTCAAAATTAAATATGAAAATAAAGAGATTGTTTTTATAGCATTGGAATCAGAACAAGAGTAAAGAGAACAAGATATGTGGTTGGGGATACACCAGTGGTTTCTATAAAAAGACATGGGGTTTTGACAGAGGTCATTGATCTGCCAGGAGGTAAGAAGACCTTCAGGATCCAGGTTTCCTACGGACCTTTGACTTCTTGAATTCCTACTTAGAAATCCTACTCTGACCTTAATGACTCAGCTGTTTCTGGAAGAACACATTGCTGAGTCAATGAATGCAGAAGTAAAACTAAGTTCATCATCTCTTTAATCATAGCTTGATGTTGTTCACTTTCATATTCACTGAGGCTGCTTAAGGCTTGCAAGTGAGTGTTCCTATGCTGCTGGGCAGGACATGGAACCTGTGAGTATCTCATGTTCGAAGCCTAAGGAAGAGAACAAATGAGCTCAGCACCATACTTCAGAACAACATCCAGGTACTCTTAAGCTCTGAAATTTGTTGCTGGCATAACTATCTGCATGAATTCCTTGTTTAGGAGTTATCAGTGGGTAGGAGTGTGTCCCGGCAGAGCTCAGGAATGCATTGTTCCAGAAAAGTTATCATAACAGTTTTCTGTCTCACTTTCCACGACTGGCTCTCATTTAATAACAGAAATTCTGCCCTTGGAAGTTTGCTTTATCTACTACTTTAGTAGCCAGAGGACTTTTGGGGGAAAGCCCACAGCATTTTGTTTTCTGGATATATTTGGAAAGGCTATTGCCAAGGGCCTACTATACATACAACATACATTACTGTGCTGTTCATTATTTCTTATTATAAAAATGAGAGAGAGAGAGAGAGAGAGAGAGAGAGAGAAAGAAAGAGAGAGAGAGGTTGATTCAAGGTTATTTTGCTTTGTGCAGGCAAAACACTCATAAGCATATAAAATAAATCATAAAAACAAAAACAAACAAAAATGACCTGTCAATTTGGGAGCTTGAGTACTAACTGAAAGAGGAATTGTTTCTACTTGTAATATTGGCTATTTGGTCTTTCCAAACCAAGTCCAGGGGCTACCTGATCTTACTTTAAAATGTAATAAATAGTTTAAATCAAGAAACTCAAGAACCTACCCCTCCTAATCATTCCAAATAGTTCAATAAATTTATCCTTTCTAAGGATTTGGAAGATATTTGGCCATGGCATGGATTTCAGCCCAATACCAGTTTTGAGAGTAATTTGAGATTGAGGTGTTGAGTTTCAATCAAGAACTTCTTGGAAAGAAACAAGAGAAGCTGAAGGTCTAAAATTGAGGTAGATCTGGGGAACAGGATGAAGAGTGAAGACGCAGAAGGTAAGGATAAGAAAACCAGAACAACTAGAGAGAATTGGGGCCAAAAGAGGTAGAAGAAAAGTGAAAGATAAGATCTTTGTGGAGGGAGGTGGCTGAAGTTTAAGAAACTTGTGTGGATTCAAGTCTCTTTTTCTCACTGACTTTTTATTACCAGTTAGGAAAGCCATTCAACTTAGATATTTTAACTTCTTTTGTTTTAAAGCACAATGCAAATATTGAAGCTTTCACTAATTTGTCCCCAAAATTCACCCCACCCCAAACTGTCGGAGTTCATTATTACTCTTCTTAAAGTCCCAACACTTGCAGAGGGATTTAACAGTGAGAATCACAGTGACAGAGCCTATGCCTAGCAGGAGAGCATCATTTGAGAATGAAACTGGGTAAAATCTGTTTACCAGAGGAAAAGAGGCCCTAGATAGAAAAATGGTGAAGCACTTTGTCTAACCTGTAGAGATCAGATTGTGCTATGTTCTCATTAACTTTATATTATGCAGAACATTGGCTTACAGGCTACACATTGCACAAATAACTCCCTTTATACAACAACTTTTTGCTCTATATCTCATTTATGCAAGTAAACAACTACCATCTGTTCAACATGAGCCATGAAGACAGACTGATAAATAGCTTATTCTCACGGATAAACATTGCCACATATAAGCGCATCAATATAAATCAGGAACACATGACAGGTGAAAATATCAAATGGTATCAAAGAAAACAAGCCTGGAAACTTACAGAACACACTATACCAATGAATAATGCAACCTACCTCTTGGATTGAGCATTGTGGTACCCATTGACAATTAGGTAGTCAGACTTTCAGGTGCAGGCCATGATGTCCGTCTCCAGGACTTCAGCTCAGTGTAATCTCCTGTTTGATTGAACTCACTTAAACTGCTGTTCATTTGGTCTTAGTAAGCCTGGGACTAATTCCACATGTCTTTTAAATCATCTCTGTGGCTTGTTCATTAGGTTAATATCTAGCTAAATACAACAATCCT